CAGGAATTTAAAAAAAAAAAAAAAAAAAAACTAAACAGCAACACGGGCGCAGGCCAAACAGTTATGACAGCACCCAGTTGACAGAAAACATCACCAGCTACGACAAGTCCGATGTTAGCGCTATGCTAACTAGCGCTAGGCTAACTGTGGCCATCCTCAAAGCCTGGTCACGACCCTACACATTTCTTGACTTTACCACTAGCCTGATTCCAGGTAATGAAGCGAGAGGACTGTTTATCGCATTCTGTCACCAAAGAGGTGTTGACTTAGTAGTTAAACCAGAGGGTGACAGATAGCGCTGTGTTTGGGCATTTGTCTACAGATGAGAACCGGAGTCCATTCATCTTTTCTAAGAGCAGATGGGTAAGAAGAGAAGGGAATAAACGTCAAATCCCATCATTTGATGGGCCTTTTTAAAGCTTATTAGCGCACAGCATGCTTTCAGTCAAGCATGTATGTAGCAAGTCTCTGTGTAATGGTTTGTGCGTGCACACGTTTATGTGGCACCATCTTTTTATTTTTTCTGAGCATATCCACCCGGCTGTTCTGTCACAGTGGTTTGGAGGGCTTCTATCAGACCGCCTTTTTAAGGCCTCGTCCCTCTTTCTGTGGTTGCCAGTCAATCTGGAGGCCCCATATATCCTCCGCTTGGCTGAGATACAAGACCTGACGGAGATATGGAAGGACGTATACAGCTGTTTCCGATCCGTCTTTGATATGACAGGCTCTGCCATTGGTCTGCCGTGTGTCACGTAGATAAATGTAGACTTTTTTTGTCACAGCTGATTCAACAGATGAATTCCTGCCTTATTATTCATTCACCATGAGGCAGGGGTTTAAGTTTTGGCACCCAAATGTGCTTTAGTAGGTTTTGGAGGCCAGGCCGCGCTAGACTGTAGACTAACGAGAGCATGATGTAGGTCTGCTGCTCCAGTTCTATGCAGAAACCCAGTTTGTGTTGTCTAGTTGGCTCCAGAGAACCGGCGGCCCACTTTAGCCGCCTTTCTTTCTCTCTTGTAAGCTCTTCAACCTTGGTCTTCCTCCACCTTCTTCCATCTCGTTCTTTCACAGTTTTGTTTGATCGCACTCCGCAGCCAGGGTCCACCCTAGAGAGCCTTCATGGCCCACGGCAAGCCAACGAAAACAGAATAACATTCTGCCCTGGAAAGATACAGATGGGGTTAATAAGAATTAATAAAGTGTGGGGACACAAATGTTCCTGCAAGCTCGGGCCGCTTCAGACCAAAACAGACTCTGTCCCTGTCTTTTCTTACATCTCTCTCATCACTCACTCTTTCTTTTTAGCCTCTGTTTCCTCTCCCCGCTTCTCGACAATCAGGTAACTGTATTTGCTTTCTGCTATTGAGTGATGAGGAGCGTTCGCAGAGCTCCCTAAGCCCTACTATGTTCTCGGCCCTCTTTGAGAAGGTATTTATAAGGGAACATTTCAATAGATCTTCTGCTGTCTTCTGTTGTACTGTAGTATTTCAAAAGCAATGCTCACCTCTCCCATCCCAGAATTTATGGGTCCGCCATTGCAGCCCAAATCCAGCTTATGTAACATCTTGATTCGTATAAGAGAATGTGAAAGGAAAAGGCCAGCCTTGGTTTGAGACATATTCTTTTACTCATCTTTGCATTATTGTGAAGAATTTTTATCATTTTGTGTATATGACGCTTGTGGCAAAAAATATTCTCTAACAATACAATATAAAAGATTGTATTAGCATTTTTATTTCATATAATGTAATTAAATCATAGTATCTTTTTTATTTTATTATGTTTAAAAAATATGGGGCTCAATATTACATCAATATGGGCTTACTATTTTATATATATTTATAATGTGTGTGTGTGTGTGTGTGTGTGTGTGTATGACAAAGAACAGCATTTATCATTCAGGTTAATGTAAATTTTTACTGTATACTAAATGCTTTATTTTGTTGTTAATAATTTCATAATATATATATA